GCCAGGTGTTCGGCTCTCGAGCTTTTCCTGCCGTTATAGTCAAGGGTCCGCTCGTCTTTGTGGATCCCTCTATGTTACCGGCTCAGCTGGCCAGACTGTTTCCTTGCAAGGGAGACAGCCGGTTCATCCGCCTGAAACTAACTCTTCAGCATCAGTACTGGCTCGCTTCATAGCAACTAGCTTCTTGAAGTTCGCAAGCATTCTTGACGGTATTTGCGACACTGTGACAACACACCGGTGCGTACGAACGTGCGGCGAGCGCCCCCTTGTCAGACAACCTAAACTCCTTACCTCAATAATTATGCACATGTCTTTTGCATCAAGCCCACCATAGAAAAGCGGAGGAGCATTGTGTTTTCAGTGAGACCCCGAGCCTTCGTTGGGAATTCTTTGCAACGGCATGTATTTGAAGGAAGACAAGGTCACTCGAGGACGTGTTGTCAGCTGCGGCCATAAGAGGCTGCATCCACCAACGGCTTCTACAAAAACACGTTTCTCAACCAACATAAAGTTCTTGACTTGTGCGTATGAGCTGGATTTCCGATGTAATCACAAAGACCAAGTGCAAACACGAAGCCCAAGTCAAACAACAGGTCTTCGAAGGCTCCTCATCCTCCAAACCGCGCCCACCGCTTTGGGATGCCAACGGGATGACCTGGCTGTATGTAATATCCAAACACCGATTGGAGTATGGTGTGTCTCGGTCTCGATGCACGCGATGCGAACAATGCAGTGCTGTACAATGGAAGTATGCATGCTCTGGACGGCTGAAGCTGAAGTGGATCAGCAAGAAGTTTCGAAAATGCTGACATAGGGGGCCCGAGGAAGCACCCAATTCAAACTCTTGAATCGAAGGCATGGAATAATGAACTTTCAGCCATAAATGCGAAGACCACGTAAACCTAAACCGTATTAATAATTCTAAAAGCCTCAAGCCCCTATCGCCAACGGTTCAATTACATACCTCTAAAACAATGTCATGTCTTATCTCACCTTCTTAGCTGTATAATTCAATATTATGTTTCAAACACACTGACTGCAATTCAACACATTGTATGGCATTGTATTATAATACCGTATATTTTATGCGACTTTACAGAAAGGAACGCCGTGGAAGGGGGGGAGCTTGGAGCAACACCTGTTTCCTTGAGTTGAAGTGTTTGATACAATAATAAGATGTTGTTATCCCTAAACAAATGCATTACTCTGCCTCTCGTAACGAAGCAAAACACCAGCTTTCCGCAGAGTGCATTTTAACACGCTCCATTCTGTCATATTATTTTCCTACTGGACTCTATTATTTGTGTTCTGTTCTGTTCCGTTCTATTCGATTTTATGCTATTCTAATCCAGTATTATACATATAAAATGTTCTATCGTGCAATGCTACCTTGTACAACTCTCTATCATGCTATGTCATACCATATTTTGCAGTTCTATGTTACGTTGTGTCACTTTGATGTTGCAACAAAGTCTATGTATTTTTGTGTACTTTTTGACATACTATAATGACATCGCCCATACTCTCGTATACTATGTTCTTATGTATCAACTTTTTCTGCATTTAGCGTACTGTATGACGGCTGTATTGCCGAAAACACCCGTTCGAAATGCTTTCCTCTAAGTACCGGAAGGATTCGGAAGAATTCGGACGCACGGCCTGCTTTCAGACTGGCGCGAAACTGCCTTTCCCGAAGCACCGGCGCGTTTCCTGCTTCCGCGGGTTTTGCTTGCGGGATCCAGAGGAACGCTTAAAATCATTTCCTGCAGCCGCTGCTGCGATTCCAACAGTGACCGACACAGTAGGTTTTACAAACGATCGGGTTGGCGGGTGTGCACGGGTCAAAAATGAACTCCAGAGAAGAGTATGCGCCGCACAACGGCGGCAGATGCACGTCGGACGCATCCTTTGTAAAGAATAGGACGCAGCGACCAGATTTGCTGCAGGTGCTCAAAACAACAGGATGCTGGGGCCTTTTTTCCGCGCAGGGGCACATGCTAATGCTTCATCATATTGTATCAACTATAGTACATATTCCTTCATATCATATTTACTACGCTAAGTCATCTCACATCATACTATAACCAATGACACCACTAACACGAATTAAATTCTTCTGTTACAACGTATCTTGCTATGTTACACCATGTCGATTTAAGTTGTGTTGTCTGATTTGTTGTATTTCTTCTGATTCTACTGCATTTTCTTTGTACATGTGCCTTTATACTATGATCTTTCTGAAGCATATCACATAAGTTATATGGTACGGTGTGATACGACAGGATATTATACTGAAATATATGTCAGAAGGTAAACGCAACAAGAAAACGTGTCCGTTGAACGAGGTTGTGCATGCTTTCTTGTCCTATGCTGTTTCACAGTTTTTGTATAATGGTACTTCAAACTCTGATATGGTAAGTTATGTTACGTTCTGATATATTTGCCCAACCTGTAAAGCCTGAGAGGGGAGGGAGGGGGAGGGGAGGAGAGGAGGGGAGAAGGAGGGATCCCTCCTCCCTCCATCTATGCCCAAGCGACCAGCCATCCATCAGTTCGTCCGTCCAGGCATCCACATGCATAAAGCTCACCTAGCCACATACAGGTACATCCATTCATTCATAAATCCATGCTTTGCTCCAAAGCATGATGTTGGACTGCTTCAAGGCCACCTTGCCGATGCCGATGTACTGGGCCACACTTTGGGGGCTCTCGGCGGGCAGGGCATTGGAGGCGTCAAGTGCTGGCGCGAAGGCCTCATCGCAGCATGCGAGTGCGGATTCTTGCCCAACATAGCACATGGCGGCACTGCCGAGGAAGTTGAGCCGCACTCGTTCCTTGCCACGCCTGGAGACGCCAGAAGTAGCACATCTTGCGTTCACTCCGGGCACAGCACCACATTGCCACATGAAGCAGAAGGATGGGCCAACAGTGGCCACGCCGGCCAAAACGAGGCCCGGCGGCGCCCAGCACAGAAGACATGTCGTCTTGTCCCGGTGTCCCAAGTCATCCATGAGACCTTTGTCTGCGTCGAGTGTGGTCAACAATTCAGTTCACAAGCAGCTCTTCGCAGGCACGAATTCAACATGCATATGGAATCGGGACAACAACAACAGAGGGATGACTTTGTGAAGAGCTCCCGCTATGACTCTTCCATGGAGCACGCTCTAGAAAGAACGCCCACTTGCAAGCATTGTCGGTATCGGTTCGGGACGTGGCACACATTCCACTATCACGTGAACTCAAGGAGTTGTCCGGTGCTCAGAGCGATATATGAAGGGAGTAATCCAGGCTTGGCCCTATCGCTTCCCAGTGATAACCTGGTATATTCAGAAGTGCTTTTGGAGCTTGCTGGCAATTGCACTTGGCAACAGCTTGCGGAGCATCCTCTTGTTCGCACTAGACATCATCATTGTCCTGAATGCAATCACTGGAATACCTCTCCGCAGTATGTCAAGAGGCATATGCTGGCCAAACACAAGGACCAAGCATTACTGATTGAAACCTGTGTTTCGGACATCAAAAAGAGTCGCTTGAGCCTATGCAATCCTTGTCAGTTTTGCGGCCAAAGCTTCAGAAGGGGTGACGCTCATCTTCGTTCATGTGTAGGCGTGTTCTTTGGTGTCTACTTGCAGAAAAGGCTCGCAAGAGGTGCCCCGACGCAGATAGCCACCGCGGGAACGAAGCCTCTTCCACGTCAGGAGGTGGGCAACCGCTCGGAGGAATCCCAGCTGGCTTGGAAGCGTCTACACCGGTTGGCACAGTCAGCGGCATGGACGTCGGCGGGTTGCTATCTACGTCACGAACGACTACAGGTCAGAGCCTTGGCGAAGAGATTGATGCAGATCATCAAGCAGTGATGTGCCTGAAGTTGGGGAATGACGGCAACTTTTGCTACATGAACACAGTTGTGCAGTGTATCGTGCATCTGTGCTGCCTCCTCAGAGACTCCAGGTTGTTTTTCAAGGATGAGGCCAGACAGGCTGTTGGGGGTTTGCTTACGCGCGATAGGCGCAGCCACATCTGTGGAGGCTCCCCGTCTGGCGGAGGATGCACTTGGGCTGGCTGCAACCGCTCCGGCAGGACGATGCTGCTGAGTACTTGCAGTTTGTAGGGGGTCGTTCATGGTTTGTACAGGATGACATGGAGGTTTCTTGGCATGCTAGAACGGTGGACAGCTGCGGTATCACACAAACCATGGACGGTGGTATCTCGATGCCACTTCTCCTCGATCCCCCGGGGATGGAGGCCCCCGATTCAGGGGCTACTGAACAGCTGGGAGCAGCGACACGCTGCTTTGGCCCCACCGAAGGCAATAGCTCTTCAAGCCGGGCGGTTCCATTTTGATTCTGAAGGTGGCACACGTAAGCTTCGTTGTTCAATTGTGCCTAGTCCTCACATTGAGTTTCCTGTTTTCCGAAGTAACCTTCAGTTCTACAAGGCTCCGTATCGGCTCGCTGGGATTTGCATCCACTTCGGAGATGCTCCCACACTTGGACATTATCGGGCAATACTTTACACTTCTGATGGTGGCTCTAGCCAGGCGTTTATTACTGATGATGGTGTTGATTCGCGTGCTATTTCGTTTGATGCTGTCATGAACTTTCGCCACGATATGTACCTTTTCTTTTACATTCGATGCTCTTAACCTCGTTCCGGCTTCTGGGCACAAGTGCCGGGGAAGCCTGTTGGAGGAGAATGCACACATGTGCAGCTTTGGGCCGGGCTACAGCCTGTTCTCCCTTCCGTTAGCCGAGTGACGAACTCTGCCACGTGGAAAGTGAAAGTATGTATGTATGTACGTATGTATGTATGTATGTATGTATGTATGTATGTATGCAAGTATGTCACGTGTTTATATATTTATAGCAACAGGTTAGATTCGATTGGATTAGCTTTAATGTGTCTGCAATGTAGCATAGTCCTTCAATTCTATTCTAACATATTCTGTTCTTCATATTACTGTTATTATATCACTCGATGTTCTTCATGTCTTCTTGCGATTATGTGGACCATCCGAGTCTCCTGTTAAGTTGCCTGCGCGCCTCCGCTTGCCTCAAAATCTCAACTGAGTTGGATGTTCGGCGGAGCAAACGCCGCGCCCTCAAACCAGCTTTATCTCGTGGATGTGGCGTTGGGAGTTTCAGGTGTCCTTTGGCCGGCACTTCGATCGTTGGGACGGCTTGGTTGCCGTCGTATCCTTGAACAGATCCCGACCTGTGGGACATATGCAAATACCATGAAATGCAAAATCTCATGGTGGCACACGATCGCTCTGGCTTACCAGCACGACATGGCGCTACTGCCTGCAAAAACCTCAGTTGTTGCCAACGGAAAACTAAGCCCATAGTCTCTGAGAAGCTGGGGGTCATGAGGCTCCTTCTTCTCGGATTGTCGGGTGTCCTTGAGTGCCTTTGTTTGCGCCTGCTTTGACCAACAGCAGTCACCAAGGCAACAGCTGTTGTGGGTCTCTCTGTACCAGGTCTTGCTGCATCTGTGTGCCAGCCGAGCTGACGCTCTTCGCTTAAATCACTAAATGTTAAACCCGTGAACTGCCAGGCTTTAGGATCGAGAAGTGGAATGCTGAGCCGCTAGCCCAAGGTGTTATTCGATTTAGCCAAAATAATCCCAGGAACCTCTAAAGTCCCTCAGCCTAGAGAGCTTCAAGCCTAAATCCCTCACCGTTGTTACTGCTTTCCTAGGCCAACCAACGCGTGGCTGCTCGGCGAGGCGGAAGGCAAGGGAGCGACCGAAGATGATACGGGCACCGTTGTAGAGCGCTGCGGCCTCTAATTGGGCTTAGGATTCTTGAAGTAGGGAGTAGGGTAGGTTTGCTTCGAAGTCGATTCAGAAGAGTGTTGGATCCCGATGCGGAATGCAAGCAAATTTGGTCACTGAGAACAATCCGCCCCGTGTCTGGGGCGTTTGCAGAACCGATTCTTGAGACTGCCATCAGTAAAGTACTTGCGACTAGCTGGACTGTCTACGGGCTGTCCAGATCCGATAGGCCATACACAACTCTATGCGCATCTGCTCCAGTGCGAAGGTTTGCCGGCACGTCCTTCTGCACATATTACACGCAAAGCCCGGTCCACAGATCCAGTTCCCCAAAACTGTGAACCCTCCACGGCCCCATCGCTTCAAGCCTGAATGCCCCTACCTGATCTGCAACATCCTGGACGTCGAACACCTGGGGAGGCCTGGTTCTCGGACACCTGTATGCCGTCGACCTGCCAGGAAGCACCGGAGCACTCGCAGCAATCTCTCTGACGCACGGGTGGCAGATCCAAGGCAGGCCGGCGGCGCCATCAGGCGCCCGCCTCCGGAGTGTTGCACCTGCACCGATCTTGGGTCTGAGGCAGATTTTGAGGTTTCGGGCTGTTGCTGTTGCTGGGCTGCGGGGGCTCTCGGGCTTCTGTGACGAGGCGCATGTTCAGACGCTGCAGGATAACGTGCAGGACATGCACAGGCATGCGCAATTTGCCGAAGCCTCCTGGACACTGCTGCATTCCAAATCCTTGAACCGTCATGCTTCATGTCTGGTTTTGCAGGCTCTCAAGGCCCCACATACTCAAACATCAGCACCTGCAAGTCGGAAGCGGGAAGCTACTCTGGAGCTTGCGCAGCTTACGTTGAGGCTGCCTGCGTCTCAAACATGCTGGGCATTTGCAGCAGTTGAGGTGAGCTGGCCTCTGAATCAAACCAGCTACTAGGGTCCATGTGCCTTGTAGAACATTCCCACAAAAAGGGGTTACTTCAGGCTACTTCGGCCACCCAGTAGACGCATGGCCCAGGCAAGGTTCCCTGCCACGCCTCGACGCCTTTTCCACCTGCAATAAGTGGTCTCTTTAACTACAAGCAGAAGACTTGACATGCAGGGCTTCATGCACTTTTTCACAGGGCTCTGTTCTACGGCTCTACGTGTGGAACTTCCCAGCTGCAAATGGAAGTAGGTTGCATGGATGCGGCAGAGCGAAATGCAGACTTTTACAAACCGTTCCACAGGTGGCCCACATATTGCACATCCTGCCTGCAACAACGGAGATGTCGCATAAACGGTCGGGAATCCCCAACCCCATCAAGCGGATTCGGTTGTTCTCCTGGCACATGCAAGCCACGAACCCTACGCATGCACAGTCTCATTCTGGCAGGCTGGCAAAGCTGTGAAATGCTCGGACCAACGTCTTTCTACGAGTCCTTTCACGCTATTTTGGAGGAGCTTCTGGTCAGCTCAGTTTACATGAGGCAGCTGCTGGTGCATCAGAGCTGGTTGAACCAATCCTAAAGCCCAGTTAGTAAAGCCTCTCACGACGGAGCAAGAAAGCCGATGCTGGGAATTCCTTCTGATGCTTAAAGTCAGATGGTGCCCCATTGCGTACGTGCCATGGATCCTGGCACCTCGAGATCTGAGCAAGACCAACTTCAAAAGACCCCAGGAAGGCTCTCATCCCTCGATCTTTCAGGGCCCTGAGGCCCAGACACCGGAGCCCACGCTGATGGGCGGACCCTCCGGCAGGAAGTAAAGAAGCCTCTGAGGTCTCTCCGGTATGCTTGGCAAGGGCAGGACATGCTCCTGATGCTAAGCGCAAGACGAATCAAGATGGATCGTGAAGAACCGATCCGGCGGTGCCGATTGGAAGCACTATCCGTATCGATCATGTCGCCGATGGAATGAAGCTCTGTTTGACACAGATCAGGCCTTCTTTGATGGAACCTTTCCTTTAGAATGTCGTGGGCTGTCTAGCCCTGAAACGGATAACGTTTGCGGAACGAAGCGCCTGCCGGCCAAGGAGATGTCATCCGAGATGTTGAGCAAATACGGCCTGGGCTGCCGAGAATCTTCGTCTCGAGGCAGGCGTTTTCAAGTCCTTTCTATCTCTGCAAGGGGTGCGTTGGAGGATGGGAGATTCTGGAAATTTGGGGATCTGCTTGAATGCTTCCGCAGCCCCTGCAACAAGCATCTTGCTTCGGAGGGTATCCACGAAGAGCAGCATATCTTACAAATTGCAAGGTAGATACGGGGCTTGAGTCTTGTGGTCAGGGAATGTGACAGCGACAAGGAGTGTCAAGCTGTCCATTTGACTGCAACAACCTTTCTCAGACCTGGAAGACACTCTGATAGTGTAGCCGCAGTCTAGTCATTCACAGTGGTGCAGTCCCTTCCTTGCATGTGATAGCGATGATCACTATTGCGGAGCACTGTCAACAAAAGCAACTAGAAATACCAGCAACGACAAAAATCAAGCGAGGACATGGCAATCCCACACGCCGTACTACGATCAGAGTATCCTTGCAGTAGTACAGTATTTGTTGTCGCCCGAATCTTTTTTCCAGCGTCTTCGGTTGTAGTCGCAGCATTGGTAATCGCGGTGGAATTGTCTCAGTGGCAGTCTTCGCAACAGGAGTGGGATTAAAAGGGTTAGCAGCAACAGCTGCAGTCGCAGAAACGGACTTGTGCTAGGAGGAGAGGGTGCAAGGAGGCTTTTTTTGTTTTGTTGAAGTACTGACCGAAGAAGATACTACTACCGGTGCAAGACACTGCAACCAACAACAGAAGCACAACGGGCTAAGTAGCAATGAGAATGCAGAGCCCAATGGGAAGCCGGCGAATTTGCGGTCACACCGTCTTGTGATTGACCTGGCGCATGTCGGAAGCCCTGGTGAAAACATGGCAGAGAGTGCTTTGGTGGACCAAGTAGCAGGACCGCACAGGAGAAACATCGCTTGAGCAGGAAACCTTTCTCACAAGCGGCACTGAGTCGGCTACAAGGATTTGGCCATTGCGAAGAGTCGCAGTGCACCACGCCCAGACATGAGTGCCAACCCCCACAACCTAATGATTCACATACCCAAACTCTGAGGTTTTCGGGACCATCCGAAACCCTAAAACCTTCACGAACCCATGTAGAAAGCCGAAGAATGCTATGAACACCGATGTCCATGCACAAAAAATAGCGGCCCGAGGCCTCCAAGCATTCCTCCAATGGCAAAAGGCAAGCTCAGACCTGCCAGGGCCTGGCGCTTCTGGGGATTGCCCTAGCCTAGGGCAGCTTTTTTTCAAGTCTTTTTGTGTGGAAGCCTTTTCCATTTTTAGGGTGCCCTTTTGCGCATCGTTGAGGGTTTCGAACCCTTTGGGGTTTGCGAGACGAGCGACACGGGAAGTCGTGCGAAACGAACTGTGCAGGGCATGCTTTATAGCAGACTAAACCCGAAATTCCTATTGGATGATTAAGGCCCCCGAGTTTGGCTGTTGGCTTTTGTGTTGGTGATGGAGCAGGTGCCAAGCTTCGACAGCAGCTTCCTGGGAGAGGCGAGGGCGTTTCCTTATTATGGTAACTTAAAATCCTAAACCCTAAACCCCATGCGGAGCTGGGAGCTGCCTGCCGCGTCGCCTCCTGCTGGGCCTGCTGCGCCTGCGGGAGTGGGGATGTGGGGGCGCTCTGAAGGCTAAGAGAAGGAGTCCCAAAGCTGTGAGGCCGTGGGAGTTCAGCCTGTGTAGCTATGCAGATACATGCTTGAAAGACAGATCTCAAGCCTGCGACCACATCGTCTTGTCGATCCGCGTCTGCATGCTGATCACCTTAGCTTTGGGACCCTGTCTCAGCCTTTGAGATAATGGAGCCCTTATTACAAAGCGTCCCGAACGATGAACAGACAGCCCTTTGCCACAAGAAGGCCCTTTTACTCTGCAGAGTGGCGGCATGGGATCTTAAGAAGCCCGCACTTGTGTACTCAGGCCTTTGGGGCTTGTAGCTGGGTTTTTCGTTTGTTCAGAAAGCTGTGGAGCTAGAAGCCGGATGGCAGTGGCCAACTCTGTATCTTTAGGCATGCCCCATGGCAAAGAATGGGTTCAGTGCGGAGTGAGATCACCATGTTAACGTGATGTCCAAGCGAGGCTGCTAGTTCAGGTAAGATGAGGCCGCTGCTGCATGCTCCACAGCTTCGGCGTGGATTTCCAACCGCCGAGCCTGCCAACATGGTTGAAATCAGGCAGTTGGGCCTACCAACCTTTGCTGCAGAAAGCACGCGAAGCTTCAAGGAATACCGCCGTCACATGTTCCCAAACGACAAACAGGCTTTGAAGTTCTACGAAGTCCGTGGGAACTTCCTGTCAGCTGGAACCCAACCGAAGCCCATCAAAGTGACAACACATATGAAATCGTAGACGGCAAACAGTAAGGAGTCGGTCTTTGCTCTTCGAGGCACCTGCTGCGGACTTTCCTCCCTCGCTTTGATCGCCGCGGCCTTCAACTCCTCCGCCTGCGGAGAGCTCCAGCTCTCTCGCGGCTTGGAGCCATGGGCTGGCTCGGACTTGCACTGATTTAAACGGAGTCTGCGTGTCAGTGTGACTGGAGCTGACATCCAATCCACCCAAGCCTCCGAACGCATAGTCTGCAGGAGGAGGTCGCTCTCGCCGACGTCCTGGGTCGAGAAGGCTGCAGTGCGTTAACGCTGTGCAGGCCATCGCTTCATGTCAAGCGACTGCAAGGAATAGATGCCTTCGCTTTCGCTGAAAGAAGCTGCCCTAGGTTGCCAGCTACCACCTCGCCCATCGGACACGCATACTCGCGGAAACCACGGGCGGTGCCGTAAAACGGAGCTCAAGATCATGCCTGGGGCTTTCGGTAGCAGTCGCCGCCCATGTCTGGGCCGGGCCCGGCCCAAACGCTGAAGGCTGGCTCTCCAGAAGTCTGAGCTTACCCCTCCGGTCCTGCTCGTTGGAGACGGCATGAGTGCGCACCTGTCCGAACCGGAAGGGGGCACAGTATACCCCTCTGTGAGGGCATTTGGTGCCTGTTGAAGGTTTTGCACCTGCCTTGAGGGCGATTTAAAGCATCGATGTAGCAGTTCGCCCACAACCCATCTGCTGGTCGCTACACCACACACCCCTTCATCTCCACCGAAGAAAAGCGAACGTAGGATGATGAACCTTCTTGACGGAGCTCGCGAAACGAAGCGTCCCAAGCGTCTCCTGCAAACTGCCGTATCGACAGCTGCGACGTGCTAACACATTGACATGCATTTCTGCCATGTACGTTTGTACATATATATATATACACACGTACACTTTTACGTGCTTACGAATATAACTATCTATCTCTCTCGCCATCTATCTATCTCTCTACCTATCTCTCTATCTATCTATCTGTCTGTCTATCTATCTAACTAGATAGCTAGCTATATGCTACTCCCGTCCAACACCCACGGATTCTCTCCTGCTTTCGCAAGATGTTTCGAACGTATTGGCAACATTGGTATTTATGTCTTTCTTCCTTCTTACCACATAGCTGAAATGTCGGTCGACAAAACATATTCTTAACAGCGTGCAAACACGAATGCAACATCGAAGTCATGCCCTCGGCCGCTCAGTTAACACGGTTGCAACAGAATCATGAAAGCTGTTTCTCTTGCTGTAGGAATGTGGTGTCATGCTGGCTGTCATGCAGTTAAGTGAGAGTCGAATATTGAATTAATCGAGAGGTAATACGGCTTTCCATTCAATATGTTGAGGACGTGAACCCCCGGACCCGGACAAATGGTAGACCTTCCGGTGGATGTAGTACACGATCGTCTTGGGTGTTTCGCGTTCTGAGGGACCATGTCTATATCTAATACAATATAGCAGAAATAACAAAAGTGTAGGTATTTCTATATGTACATCGTTATGAACATGTTCATGCATGTATGCATGCTTGCGTGTATGTATACACGCATACATGCACACATACACATGCACATGTAGCATAACACACGCCTATTGGCCCATCTATCTGTCTACCTACCTATGTACCTATCGATCTACCCATCTGTGTACCTATCTAGCTGACCAAATATCCTCTTACTCGTGTATCTTTCTATCCATTCCTCCGCCCATCCATCGACCAATCCATCTATGAGTGCGCGTGTGTAAATAAATAGATAAACAAATAAATAAATACATAAATAGATATATATATATATATACATACATACATACATATGGGCAGGTCTCAGCACCGTCCATATGCTGTTTGACAGTTATCCTTGCGCAGCATCACATCGGCATACCATGTTGTGCTCGTACAGTAGCCGACCTTGTCTTTCCATTCCACGAGCGTCAGAAGCATGCACTACGTGTATGAAGTGCAGCGTCTGTGTGCGCTTCCACTCCACGGCACTCTAGCTGTCGCCAGCAGTTTCGAAGCCTCTTGCGACAGCTCTGAAATGCAGCGTCGAAACGAACATACGTACCACTGGTACCACACACTGCGCATGTACTACATGCAGCAGGTGCATCACTTGCATGGGTTGCTAACGCTGTACAAATTCTCCGAGGCCTGCAGTGCAGGATGCTGCAAACAAGACAGCTATGACCCGTGTCCTCCATCTCGGAAAGTGCGGGCGATATGGCAGCAACCTCGGCGGACTGCAGTCAAGAGGGTTCGGAAAGCTCGACAAGGCAGTCTTTCTGTGAAAACTGAGGCGATTGGATTCTTCACAGGTGGTGCCGACGGGAACGCCTTCTGAACTAACGTTGTGCTCGCAAGCGACCCAAACCAGCTGAACACTCCAAGCAACATCATCCCCTCCAGGCGATCCTGAAGTCGCCCGGGCCGGTTCATGTTTACTGAGCTGGCGGCCATGTGCGTCTTGCTATTGCCATTCAATGCATCCGTCAAGAGGTAGGTAAGCTTGCTCTGCCTGCCATTGCGTCCACGACACGTGCATGTTCGCTTGCACAGGCGTCTGCTTCGAGAGGGGAACTCTGTGATTCCCGCTGATTCCGAAGTCGTTGCGATAGCATCCGTGCTTCGGCCACACAAAGCCTTTCTGCCAGGCCTGAAGGGCACGTGCTTGAACTTGCCCTGGGCCAATTTCGAGATGACCTGCAAATGGTCGCTCTCGTCTTGTTTCTTTATGACCATGGAAACTACACGAGGTTTTGTGAGGTGTTCCAAAGTAAAGAATCTTGTCTCTGCCTGCAATGAAACAGCAACAAATGCAACTAGTCCACACCCGGCTTGGCTCCACATTGCAACACAAGCATCGCAATAAAGTTGCCATCAACAAAAGGCTGAAGTCCAAAAACATGCAGCAAGGAGAAGCAAAAGAGCAAGTGCCATGTTCTGGGTAAGAACGGAAGAACCCAACACTCAGGATCTGGGCTTGGTCCTCGAAGGTCCTTTACTGCGGCCTGCCCGAGGACGCTGAGGGAGCTGTTGATGTTTTGGCCCTCTCTCATCCTTTGTCCTCAGGCACAGAACGGTCAAACCCTCTTGCCAGAATGATAAAGGAAGTCATGGCATCCATCTGTGTTAAGCATGATTTTGCAAGTATGCAGGTATTGCTAGGGTAATGTAGGGGCCTTAATAAGTAGAATAGGGTTTTTGGGGGGTTCCTTATTATAAATATGGTAGAATATGCCCTTAAGGCCCCTATGTTAAAACAAAGCAAGTGCAACTTTTCTCAGACCTGAGCTGCCCGGCCTGCTGCGCCGCTCTTCTTCACTCGCTCACTGCCCGCGAGGTCGATGAGATTCTGGTGCCGCAAAGGGGGAATACAGCACACCGGCAAAGAGTTCATGCTGTGGCTTTGCCGCCCAGGGTTTCGACTTTAGGAAGTGTAGCTTATGGGGTTGTGGACGGCGACGTTTTCAGCAGGGGGTGTAGGCCTAAAGCAGAAAAGTTTCTGGTCTGAGAACCGACCCTTTTAAGAAAGCTAGAGCGATTGCACAAGGGAAGCATCCCAGATGCTTGCATGACCGGTGGCTGTGACTGCGGCGCTTGCGGGCCGCTTGATCTTCCTTGTAACCCTCGAGACTGAATGGGATAAGCACTTACACGACAGGACGGGCGACCTGAAAGTTTCTGCGATCACGCTCTGATGGCGGGTGCAAAGCCCAGGGGCCGCACCAGCGTGCTGTTTCGGATTCGGGTTCGCGCTTCATCCTGGCGAGGTCGGCAGTCTACAGGTCTGAAAGTTCAAGCGCTTAGGCTTAGGCTTCCCATCCTGCGGAAGGCCGAAACCCGAATCATATTTCGCTCCGATACGCGCCAAATGCCCACACTCGGTCCTTGATGGGGAAGGTTATCCGAAGAATGAACAGGGCATGACTTCGAGAAGACCTGGCTTCCGGGAAGCTGGCACCAGGGCTGCTACAGGGGGACGCGAAAGAGCGATGGTCCGCTTCAAAAAGGTCTTAGAAATAAGGTCTAAGGTGAGCTATCCACGTTAAGCTGATAACGCATTTGTCGTAACTGCTTCGATTCCTGATACTTTCACAGCAAGATGACTCAACACCTGACAGCCTGAACCTTGGTTTCGCTGGTGGGTAGTGGAAACGGGGGCACAAACCAGATGAGGGTCCACTGCTCCAAAGTTCGCCGGCCAGCCGGCTTCCGGCTGTTGTGATGCAGTAGGTGTGGGCTGTTACCTGTACTGGAGGTGGATAAACTCGCAGCAAAGCAAGTTGCGACAGAAGTCCGAGTAGGTGCGCACAGCCCACTCTTCCTATTCATACCGAAAGGTAGCCCAGAGCTTCTTCAACCGAACTCTCCCTCATCATGTTTCGTGTCTTTTGCGCGGCTCATCGCCACATAAGCAAGCAAAGGGGTAGTCCGAACGGCTGAGGACGGGTCTGCAGAGATGCAACCAGTGTGCATTGCCAATACTGAACAGTGTGACATATCTGCTTACCAACTCATTTCGTTCGGAGCCGCCCGAAAAGACGAGTCAAGGCTGTCCAGTGAGCCCCTCGCGAAAATCGTCGGGATTCTGACTTGCCAAGGGCCGATAAGGCCGGTCCAAGAGCATGAAGTGCCGACACAGCAACAGCCAACTCATTGAGCTCAGCCCGTGCACTATTCTCATGTTAGCGTAAAACCAGAGCGCACACATGCACGTACGCTTTTTGTTCACGTGATTATCGACTGAACACTGCTGACATCTTCTGGAGGGAGCAAGCTGAGCCAGAAAGAAAAGCGTCGACCTAGATTTCACAGGCAAGTCGGAGGGAAACTTCCCGGCCTGCCTGAAGGATCTTGGGTAGTAATAAAGCGTCATGTCGGTGTTAGAAGGCCAATGGGCAACTCTAAGCAAATCAGGGAAAAGGATTCAAGCGTTGTGCTTGCAAACCCACATCTAACTACCCACGAACCTTCCTGCAGCCTCCGGAGATGCGACAGATCATTCGGATCAGGGGTCCTGGCTAGGACCCTCTTCGCGAAAGGCTGCGCAACTCAGCTTTTGAGAACGAACTTCTCCACAAAGTACTGATGGATACCTGCTCCACGGCGGTCCTTTGACCGGCTGACGGTTAAATATTTAGGTTGGGGGGCTAGACTGCTTCAGCCCTAAAAATCTGAGACCCAACACCCCCGGTTCAAAAGGATTACCAAACTCACCTGTAGCTACAAGGCGCTTCCCCAAACAGCGAGAGCTCTCGGGTGGGCAGGTCCCCGGGTTTCCAAGGCCCACTAAATGCGTTTAGCCCTGGGGTCAACAAAGCTGGAGCTCAATCACCCGAAATCGAGCCGAATTTGCTTTCCAAGGCACCAAAATGTAAGCTCCAAGCCTTGTCAAATCGAGCTCCCGAACGCCCCGACCAAGCCCATATGCCTTTTTCAATCCCCGCAAAACGCATTTGGCCCCTGGTTTCAACAAATCTGGAGCTCAATGCCGTCGCTACACCCGAGAATCGTACCACAAATGCCTTAATTTGGTTTCCAAAACGCCGCTCGAACGCCAGTGCTGTGTGCACTAGCTGGTTCTGCTCGTAATATTTTGGTGTGCAAGAGTCACATACGAGCAGGCTGTATTTTGGCATGTGCATGGGGTTCGAACATCAGCTGTGAAGACTCGCATCCGCAACTGCGTCACAGAAACCAGCTTCGTTAACCCAAGGGACAGTCGTCGGACATGCTGAGGCCCCAGCGGTGGTCTTGTGAAAGTTCTGGGTGGAAGGTGGTCACCAGCAGCTGACTTGGCAGTGTTAGACGTGCCAAAATTCCAGTTTCTTGTGGCCAAAGACTCGACGCGCACACGCGCGCGCACACCACACACCGACCGACACACACACACACAGTAACACGAATCGAGGTAATCATAAGTAGGCAAACGAAGTGTAGCATCTCTTCAAGTTGGTTTGATATAGCATTTGCTTGGCCCTTCTAGGAGAACTTCCCCTTCGATCGTCAATACGTGCATCATTGTGCTCTTGACAATTGTCTGCAGCAGCACCGCAATGATGGTCGGCTACTGTAACTAACATCAGCACGACGTATCACTGCAGCTTGCCGTGGCTAGGGCATTGCAGAACTGCGATGTGGAGAATGACTATCTTCATATCTCAGCACCGCTTGAGATGGGGTTGAGGGTCGATGCCAGGAAAGTTAAGTCGTGATTCAGTTTAAAAGGGGGAGGGAAGGAAGCACCACAACGATGAGAGGTTCACATCAACCTCTATCTCAACTTGGGGGCGCAGAGGCCGACGCCATGGCAAGATGACGTAAACACGGACGAGGAGCGAATCCCCAAACCCTGAAAGCCACTGAGTCAAAAGCTCGGATTCCGCTGCGACGATGACGCCCTTCCTGTCTCCTCTGCAGACCGGCACTTGAAGCCAGGGTTTAGGAGTTTAGCGAAGTTTAGCGTTTAGGGGGTCTAGAGTAGAGGGCTCTGCGGCTTCTTTGTCAGAATGCTCCTCGCCTCTCTGCTAGTACCGCACTCTCAGATCCGGGCCCGTAGCGGTGGGATGCGACACCTGGGCACTAACTCGGATTGCAGCATAGCACAGAAGCGGGCAACCAAAGCCAAGTTCCCCAGAGTGATACAGAACCGTAAACATGAACCTTCGAAACGCTCTCGGCGTCAGTTTGGTTTTGAACACGAGTAGGCTTTCAGCATGAAGCACAACTATGCTTTCTGCTAGGTCTGGTAGGTGGAATTTAACACTTTTGGTTTCGGCTTCCTTTCCACCGGGGACCAGTGCAACTTCAAAGGCGAGACCCACGACTCCAACATCTTGCAAGATGCAACAGATGCAGCTACTGTGATGGCACACTGCCTGTTGGCAGTAATTCACGCCATGCCAAACGCAAAAAAAACCGGGCGGCATGAACCACACATTGATCGCAAACGAACATCAAGCCGGCCACCACATGGAATCACTGTCTGTCTGTCTCTGTCTGTCTGTCTATACGAACCGTCTATGCGTACGGGTATGTACGTATGTACGTATGTATGCATGCATGCATGCATATATGTGTGCGCGTGCATGTGTGCAGGTGTCTGTACCATTCTCTCTGTGTGCGTATGTGTGTGTGTGTGTACTTGAACATGTCTGTGAATGCAGACATTATCGCAAAGAGAATGCAGTGTCTCCATTGGCATGCAAGGAGCTCTTGCAAGCTCGCGGACGCCGTCGCCGGTGCGAAGGATGGCAGGAGCCCGGATGAAGACTGCGAAGGCTGGGCTTCGGAGGGTTCTTGGAGAGTGTTCTTTGGTGGGCCTTTTTGCAGAGTTCTTTAGGCCTTTGCACAGGGCGGTATCGAACGCAGGGAAGTGTCCCGCGGTGGTATCACTCGCTGCCATGAATCGAGCTGATGACCTGAAGCATCTCTGATCCAGTTTTCTATTTTCGAACTTGGCTTCAGACTGAAACCTTGGGCATCTGCGGTTGTCCCCAAGGTGGTCTGCGACGGCCTTTGCCATTTTGTCTGTGGCCACGCACCTCAGCCCTCTCAGCCATGGCCTTTGACCCTGGACGGAAAAGGAGTGCAAAGGAGTGACATGCAAAAGTCGGGGGATCTACAGATCAAGAAACCCTAAACCTGAACTTCAACAGGAAACAACCCCATATCATAGAAAGCGCCAGCCCTCCCTTTCCAAAATCCGACGCAAAGAACACGGAGGTTTGCGGGTTTAGGGTGTAAGAGTTTTAAGATTCAGGGGTTCAGGGGTTTCAGGTTTAGGGTTTTGGTGTAAGTTAGGGTTTTGGGATGACTTTGATCTTAAAGCACCTGCGGGCTAACGCTTGAAGCTTCGTTGTCTTCGCCTCTACTTGTCGACTTCTGCTGAAGCTGAGGCATGCAATGGCCCACCAACTTCTTCGTGATCTGCCGCCCCAACAGTCTGCTGGCTTTCCGTCTGAGGGCTTCAGTTCCGGAGCTGGAGAAGCATGGACTAGTTGCCCGAACCTGTCAACCTGGCGTCTATCGAAACTAGCTGCAAAGAACATGCTGCAAGCTGAAAGAGCAACCCAAGGTATGCATATGACGTCCTGGCAGGTTGCACAGTAGACCATACTCGCAACTTTGCATTGGATTTCTGGCTAGGGTATAGTAAACGCTCTACCTGCACCCTAAGCACGAACACTTACATTCACAAATACCCTCGCATTCTGTTGACGAAACTGTCTGCTGCAGCTTGCTCCCAACACTTTCGCCTCAAGACTTCTTTTGCATCGGTATGGTGGGTGAGTGCTGGGTGCCCAGACTCTGCTTCGGGTAGCTGTCAGAACCTTGGGATACTGGTGTCTTCTTCGAGAAGGCTTGAATCGGGTCTGCTTGGGACTTTTTCAAGAGAGCCGAAATGATGTTGGGTAGATCTTCAAGTGCAGCCTGATTCTGACAGCCACCCAAATCAACATGCAGGTTTGCAAGCAGGCAGAAGCGTTGAGCTTAAGTGATTCTGAGCTCTGCATGTCTGCATCTGGGCTAGGTACGAATGTATTCCCGTGGACCCCCCATACCGGTGACCCAAGAAACCACCCGCATAAACCCTAAAACGCAGTGAGACTGTCATCAGCTCAATGGGCCACCGGTCGGAGGCCTTTTCCGAGCAGTGGCTCGGGCACGTATCGTAACATCAGAATTGTCAAAGCTCTTTAATCCTTCACCCAGCATGTTCCCTGAACTCTAAACTTCCCTAAACCTCAAGCCTTAAAGCCCCTAAAACCCTGCAGCAGTACGTCCTAAATAAATCCTCCGACCGCCATCGGTCACTCAAGCCTTAGTTCGCTCTGCTTCACTGCCACATAGAAGCACACGCTTCGCGTGAGTTCGCCCGAGGAGGCAGGTGTCCGACTGCTCCATGGTGAACCCTCGAACCAAATAGTCCCACTGCCCGACAGCCCGAAAACCCCAAACCAAACTCTTCCAAACCCTAAAACCTTCAACACCCCCAAAACACCTCTGACGCCTTCCGCCTTCACAGGGGCAGTGCAGCTTGACTACTACGAAGGGTGCCCACATGAGAATGGCAAGATGCGATTTAGAGCTTGAAGCTGAAGACAGTTGGAATTAGGAAACGGACACGCTCCTGTGGGCCCCTACAGCACAGAGACTTTTGAATTCACCTTGTCCACGCGGTGCAAACCGGCAAGCCCAATGCGAAGCTTCCTTTGACAATCTGCTGCTCAGGTCCCCGACATTCCCCGTGCCGACACATCTGAGATGAAAACTTTTCTACTTCACTTCTTGGAGAACAATATCACATCACATTCGATAAGACCTGTTGCAAATTGTGGTGTGCTGCATCCACCAGTACATATCCCATCGACATTTCGGCTCAAAGACCCCGGATGAGTTCTTGTGCGCATCAACGCGACCGAGCATCCAAGGTAAACCGTTCACGCTGTTCACGCATTCGGTTTTGCACAAGAAAAAACAGAGGAACTTGACTTTCGCTCATGCGACCTATCCTGGGACCAGCGCTGTCACTCTCAAGCTCACGCTCGCCGAAAGCCCGCACCGGTCTCAGGACGAGCTTTCGCACCAGCCAGGTGTTCCAGGAGCGGAGGCCTGTCGAGCAGGTTTTCAGCACGGACGGGCAGACACGCAACTACCGCAAACCAGCATGGACTATGAACTTCTCGTGCTGGACGCACAGCCATTACAACTCGTGGATCTGTCCAGGCATGGGGGGTCCATTGTGGTTGTTGGTTGCGTTTTCAGGCTCTCGACGAGACAGGCAAAAACAGTGTAGCTAGATCCCGAACCAGAATGTTTTACGCAAATACGAAACTCGACTTCGTAGAAATGCAGTGATCGGTAATGCTTCAGGACTTTCTGAGTCGTCCTTCGGAATTCCAGCAGATGCCGAGAGGATCTGCCTATTTAGTGAACGTTTGCGGGGCGTGCTGTACTGCAGTCTTTATGAGTGTCGTAGAGACATGATGATATGATAGTTTATGATTGCCTCCATACTCCCCACGCTGGTCTACCTTCTTGTTTGGAAACGGCCCCAAACCCAGGCCTGTTCGGCTAGGCTTCCACCACTGCGCCGTCGGATTGGGTTTCGCCAAAGCCTCTGACCCACCTTTCGAATCACATGGACGTGTTTACCTTTTTGGCCGGCCCATGCTCTCCATAGATCTTTCGGTTGACGACAGTGTCAGTTATTATCGACCAAAACCGTCTTCTGCAGACTCCGTGCGCTGTTTCATCCCTGGGCTTGTCAGGGCCTGGCCTTAGGGGATTAGGGACGTTAGGGGGGTGAAAAAATAATCAGGCTTCATCATGGCACCCGCGGGTCTCGTTGGGACTGGAACCGTGCATGCGAGCATGCTTGTTGCTTCGGACATGCAGGAGCCTTGCATGAAGGAAACAACGAACAGGCATACCAACAACTGCATCATTTGCATAACTCACCAAACTGCATGATCTCGCCTGTGAAACGTTGAAGCTCATCACAATTTAATATATGCATAATTTGACACATGGGTTAGAACAACCTTATGCAGTCGCCTTCATACAGGTTGGTAAGTGAATAAGCTCTAAAAGTTCGACATGTGCAACTCATTTGTATATCGCATGGAGCATCTCTTTGACCCTCTGCGGCTCCGGACCCCCAGAAGCCCTTGCGATAAAGGTCCAGGAAAACATCGTACTGTTTCTCGTTGGGGTCCTGAACAGAACTGGAAAGCTGTGCTGCAATTTTAAAGCATGTAGAATGTGGCACAGCTTTTGCGATGATTGGCTTTAAAACATTGTGCTACTTCAAGAAGCTACCAGCCTCTTGGGGCAGGGATCGTTGTCCGCATTTTGCGGAATTGAGGGCAAAAACCATGATGCGCAGTCGAAGCGAACTTGGGGTTGATCGTCTTCCATGGTCCAACAGTCCAACTTCCCTGTGACACATTCAACACATGGAACCCGTGAACACAACTTGCAGGCCCGCGCTGGTCCATGCTGGAGGCGGCCAAGACGCCGGGGGCTCCAAGCCCCACAACCGAAGATTCGTGCACACATTTCGTGGGCACTTTGCACCGGAGATTGTGCTCAAAAAAACGCAGCAACCATGTGTTTCGAGGGCCTTCAATTAGAAGGCGAGTCAATTCTTGCAGGTTCGTGGTTCGGCAGGTGCCACAACAGAGGCAAGACTGGAGCATAACTCTTTAACGAAACACTCTCATCAATGCATGTCTTAACCCTAGGTCCAGAAGTCGCAAACACAGTCATGACCGCAAGACATGTGACATATGTGATTAGAACAGGGTAATGTAGGGGCCTTAATCAGTAGACTGGGGTTTTGTTGGCTTTCTCGCAGAGGCCTTGCGCTTGTTCAGGCAGTAGTCGCTGAACATCCCGTCAGGAAAGTGGGTAAAGTGCCTCTCAGCTGCCAGTGGCACATCAGCGTCGACAGAATGCAAGCGTTGCCGAAAGAACAGTGTGCATCATGTCCGTGTTGCGGAAACGAACTGTGAACCTAGTTCATGACAGCTCTACGGTGCCTTGGATTTGTCGCAAAACGGAAGGATCTTAACTGCCCCAGTATGCCTAAACCCGAAACTTTAAACCCTAAACCCCCAGACTTTCGTTGTAAGTCCGCGGCTCAGTGGCCAGCATCAGCTTTTCCTCGGGAAGTCCAAGGTCAAAGAGTCTTAGGGAGGAGAGTTGGGTTGAGGCTGGGAGCCAGGGGCTTCTCGGAATCGTGTTTTTGATGTATGGTTTTACTTTTTAACGCAGTCTGGAAATCAGCCCATAGCTGCGCATGAACGCTTTTCAGTGATAGAACTCCATCTTCTTGGTCGCTTCATGCAATATGGACTTCGACTAGCTGCTGCAACTTGTTGAAAGTGTTTCTAGGCAAGACAGCTTCGCAAGTAAGCATGCATGCGTGAGACTCGATATCCTGAAGTGCCTCTCTTTGAGGCAGAGAACTTTTGGCTTCTGCCAGTTGCAATGCTGCAACTTGCAGGTGGCGCAGTTAAAAGTACTATGGTGGTGGTAGTAGCAGCAGCAGGAGCAGCAAAATGAGCAGTGACAGTATAAGCAACAGTTGTTCTAGATCTCGTTTTTTGCCTTTGGGCCTGGATGCACTGTTGCTCATCTTTACATTCTTCTTCGAGTACTTTCTTGTGCTAGGTCGCTCGTCGCGGAATTCGCGCTCCAGGAGACAGCAGCAGCATGAGAGTTTCAGAACTATGGTTTCTTGTATTTCGATCTTTTCGTTTCCGCATTTATACGAGAACTGACTGTACCACGATGGGACTGATCATGGTCACATCATCAGCATCATCAGTTTTGAGTCGGTGCAAGCCCAGCAGTGCTGAGCCCGATTAAACGACTGCACAAGCAGATAGTTCATCAAAGGAACTGTCACTTCCGCCTTTGGTTTGAAAGGTCTAAACTGACATGCGCAGCAGCAACGCCAGCACCCTGACCTCGTTTCGCAAGACTTACTAGCAATCGAGAAACCGTGACTACAGTGCTTCGACATGTATAACCACCAAAAAACCTCAAGGAAACCGCGAGACTGCACAGTTCGACAATCTGCTCCTCAGAAAATGCGCTCGATAAAACGGCAAACGCCCGAGACTCTTTATATTTATTCGGCTTCTGCTGCTTGAGGTCCGTATCTTCAGGTCACGACTTCGGAGAGAGCCCAGCTGAGGGCCGGACTCCGCAAACATAGCAGAAGTTCGTTCCTCCTGCATTGCCTCGACTTTCCACAGCTTTCGGCAGACAGGAAAACTGAAAAACCGAGACTTGCAATTCTTGTTTTCCGTTGGGTTGGGATCCATGGTGGAGATGCTGATTCAGACCTATGTTCTGGCAAAAAAACGACACGGGCAGCAGGGCAGTACGGGAAATATTCCCGACATGCTCTCTGACAGAACTGGATCTATTCAGAGGCAAGCATCATGTCTACGCTGGTTTTCGTTGAGGAAAACAGTCTGAGCGGCATCAAAAGGAAACCGTGTTATCTACGATTCTGCTCAACTATGGTAACTTTCTTCGCTTATTTTCAAGTTGCTGAATCCTTGTGGAACCCCGATGGCTGCCACTGACCCAACGATCTCTTGGTTCCGATCTATCATGTGGGAAGCAGAGCAAGATCTGATCTTGTGCTCTACTTTGCAGGCTTGCTATCGAGGCGCCATCCCTTTTCCCTCTGCCTACGGCTCAGTACTGTAGCGAGGCATGTCACCGAAGCTTGTCTCGAACTGTCTATGTATGTGTGTGCGTGTGTACAAATATGCACACATGCGCTTTGCATATGACACAGGTGCCGTGTATGTACGTGGGCATCCAAGTATGACAAGTACCTCTACGGATGCAGGCGTTGTAGACTTCGTGCTGCAGCTTTCAGCCTCTGAGCCCCCGTATGCTCGGGTCACGGCGGCAGGCCATGGAACCACAGGTCCTTGGGAGGCTTGGGCTTCATACAAAGGCGAGATGGGGATTTCAGCCCTGGGCCCTAGCCCCCAACTCCCAACCGAAAGGGCCCGGAGCTACAAAGGTGCCTCTCAGGCTGCTTCTCCAAGTTTTTGCATTCTTGATGTCTGCCATAACTTTTCTATTGGTCTACGTTCTCGACACATATCATGGTGCATGTTGTATCAACTGAAAAAGGCTAGCATCGATAGCAGTACGAATGATGATCATGACGATACTCACGGGCTGGCGCTGGTGACGTATGCGGTTTCGAGATAATCTTGATTTAGAGCCAATTTGTCGGTGTTCCGCAATGCCAGTGGGCAGCCACGTGTCTTCATGAAATCTTTCTTGTAAAGGATCTGAACAAAGGAGCAGGGCGCATGATAGCGATAATGCCAATCTGTGGCTAAATCGCGATAACCGTTTCTGCCACACTTAGTCACCGACTCATCATAGAATCAGAGCACACTCAAGAGGCTTCAGAATCTGCTCATCCCAGTCATGCTGCTCACGACAATCCTTAGACCTATACACACCAGGATCACAACCATGGACATACACGGGTCAAACGTCACAAGCAGCTGAGGCAGGCACATGTAGTTGCAGCCACTTGCCCGAGAGCACGGGGCCTTCTAAGCAAGTCTGCGAGAGTTTTAGGGGTCTTTAGGGTTTAGGACTCACAGTGCCTAAAACTTACTGTGTCATCCAGGGCCCAAGCCTGGCACACGGGGCAATTTCGCCAGCCTCTGGGCTGTGAGCTTCGATTCAACGGTGGAATGGGAGTCTGCAGGGGCCGGTACCGTGTTCGCAAGGCGACTGTGCTTATGCAACATTGCAGGGTGCCCTGAGCATGACTACAAATGTGACTTCAAGACATGGACTGACGGAATCAAGCGGGCTAGTAGCCAGAAGGACGTTGTCTTCCCATGCACTGTTCCCGGCCAAAGTCGCTGGGTTTGGGTGGACTAAGAAAAACGTTGGTGTTAAAAGCGCCCTCCTCGTCGCCATGGTATGTTGCCCAGATTTGCGTCGGCAGGGTGGACAATAAAAACGCAGCACAGACGGCCGAACCTGATGCACACATTCACACCCAAACTCCGAAAACCATACGACACTGAAAGGCCTATAGGCTTACCAAACCCTTGGGAGAACCTCCCAAGCCCCAAACCCCTAAGCCCCAAATATGAATCCTAAAGCTAACACATGCTGAAAGCCAAACAAAGGCATTGAACACTGCAGGGCTCGCCTTCGCTAGACCTGGCCAAGGTCTCTGAGACATGTGCATGTGGTGCCCGAATCAGAGGTTGCAGAAGGGTCGTCTGGGGTTTTATGCCAGTCATCCTTGATTAGGGGCGATGGCTGCGTTAGTCCCACATGTTGCTCGTTCTCTAGTTTCGAGTCCGTACAGACTCGTTTTCACTGCTCTTCTCAAATACGGCTTACAGTTTGACCGAAGGACCACAGAGAGAAAGCATGTGCCGGTGGGCAAAGATGCAAGTCCACTGTGGGGTAGACGCGGCCTTCCAATTATCGTGTCGGAAACTCGAATGAGTCCCAACATGGATTACTTCATCATCATTCAGGTTGTGTTCGCATGGTAGCATATAGAGTTTTGCATATTGTACTGTATGTATGTATGTATGTA